ACAATGAACTGAGTAGGGTGTTTGCTAACTGATGCAGTTTTCATTTTTATTTTATGTTTCCAGGTGCTTGGCCTGTTTTAATTGATGATTTTGTCGAGCATATGTACAGGTTTGGTTTCTTTACGTCCAAATAAAGCATCTTAATTTTTTATAAGGACTTTGATATAAATTTCACTGTTAGGTTTACAAAATTAGTATTAGTTTTTTATAGAGCTCAGTGGCATTGATTGGTCCATATAACCTCCTGAGATGCCAAATATTGGACTACTATTTTATGGGATATGGTTAATGTCAAATATGTTATACGGGTGAAATCAGGAGTGAGATGTTGGGTCAACTCATTTCATGAAGAGTTGACTGTAAGTTATCATATGTTGTCTTCATATTTTAAGATTATCTTTTGCATGTTATGGACATATTAGATAGTTTCTAAGGGTTTTGTAGGATGACCTTAACCAGGATATTTTGGCGTGTCATAGGATTAGTAAATAGGTTTGGGTCAGTTTAACAGGGTGCATGTACATTTTAGCTTACCAACCAACTCTTCCTTATGCAAAAGTTCAACCACCACCTAAATTAAAAGAATGGGACTGGGAAGGATCAAATATCTTCTTGGTCAAAGAGGTTCTGATATTATTTTATGATAGATTAAGCAAATTTTATTTTAAGATAGTTGATATTTTATTTTTAGATTTTATTTTTATTTTCGTAATATCGTGAGGATCACGGTTATTTAAAGCTTTTTAATTATTAATGAATACAAGACTCAATTTTAGGAAAATATCAGAGAGTTTGTATCATGGGATTTTCTTAACAAAAGAGGCTCTGATATTATGTGCTATTAAACACTCCTCAACTTTTATGCCTTTAGGTGTCAACTATTCGCATATGTCACTTTTTTCCTTATCAGCACGGCAGCGATATGCCAGCCCCCAATTTTCGCTGTTTGAATTTCACAATTTCTAGAATTCCTATTCCGCCTAGGACATATAAGATTCACTCAATCTAGGCAGAAAATTTTGCACAAGGTATAATAATCAATAGAACTAAAGGTCAATTAAAGCTGATTTTTCTCAGCGGAATCTGTATAAACCATAATGTCAATACTTCCTTGACCTGAGTCATAATCAGATCACCTCCATGACCTAAACAACTCACTTTGTTCTATCTTTGTTCCTAACATCTTGATTTTGAAGAATAACATCATGAGCCTGAATTTTAAGCAATTGTAGAGATCTGGATTCTTAAAGTCACCAGTAAGTCCACCAGTATGACCAATTAAATACAATCTTCCAAACATTTTTGTAGAATCTGAAGGTTTCACAATGCCCATGCTTTAAGTTCAAAGGTTCTTTCATGAAGTGTTGTGTTTAGAGATGTAAAGGCAGTCATGAACCTTCAACTAGCAAGCAACTTTGTCTTTTAGAATAGTAGAGTCTTTGGCAGGAGACAGATTCAATTTCTAGAAAAATGGCACCACCTTTCAAGTATGGCATTTGAATTGTGATGGCATTTCTGAAGGCCAATCTTACCCTCCTTTTTCAGTTAACGTGATATAATCTTACCACTAACACTGAAATGATATAATTGTAGTGGACAATATTTGCTTCCTGTGATTGTGAAAGCGTTGATCTGAGCTTTTAAAAATTTTGGTGACATGCTTAAGTGGTTTGAATGACAGAATTTTCTAATATCCACAAGCTGACTCTGTATTCTGTTGTTCTTTTTTATGCAATGCAATTTTCACAGATGTAGTGCGGTGAAAGATATCCCATATTTATATAGGATAATCATTAGTTGTGAGTTCTGTAGATGCTGCTACAATGAGAATGAAATACATTGAATTAAACGACCTTGTTTTGAAATCTTGTTCTATTTCAATGACAGTCTACATTTTTGCTGGGTTTAATTTGCCTTACCCGTTCTAAAAACTTTGCTAAGAGCCAATTTAAGGCCGTGACTAATTTTATATACACTGGATTTTATTTTATCAACATCTCTGAACTTCATTCCGTTTATTGTCCTGCAGGATGCAAGGATCATATTATGATAATTCCAATTTCAATTGCAAGTGTGGTGATCCAGAATCTCAGTCATGTGTTTTGGAGGATTCCCTTCCTGGTCAGTTCCCTGATATAGGAATTCTAGTCTTACGCTTGTGATTCCCTTCTCAGTTTTCGTTTTAGAAACAGTTATTTAAAATGATTGTACACTACTTAGCAATCGAATTTTCATCCAAATTCTATTATCTTTTGAAATTTTTTCCAAAATAAGTGTTTTAATAACCTAAAAGTAAGAGGTGTTTTCTCATTGTTTTCTGTTTTCTTCAAGTGTTCTGTTCAAGTACACTAGGGACAAACTTTAAAAACAGAAATGTGCTCAAGATACAAACAAATTTAGGAAACAGAATTATTTTTGAAATCACTTAACGAAAAATTCCTCACTGTTCTATAAATCTGTACTTGGCTATGGTTTTCATACAGGGCTGAGTAATTTTTCTGGTGTAAAGAGGAAGTCATATGAAGACTTCAACAAAAACGATCATATGGATGTCAACAATATTGTTTTTTCAAATTGTAAAAAAAGTAGACCTAAGGATGCAGCAGATTTTGAGGACTATCCACCAGGGAATACAGCAGAGGAATTTATGGAAACTAGTACACAAAATAGCCCATTGTGTTCATCTGTGTCCGCATGTGCAGTTGAAAGGGTTCTGTCTAAGGGATTTGCTGGACTACTCTCAACTCGTTCCTATCTGCAGTTTAGTGGGGAGAGAAGGGCTTCGTTTTGATGAAGCACCCCCCTTATAGTTAGAGGTATAGAGCATTTTCTTTTGCTAGTTAATATTTGTTGATGTATTAGTTTTGAATGGGCTGCAATACACTATTCTAGTTGCCAATATTAATCGCATTGTAATCTGTAACATCATCCTGTTAAGTGTTAAATAACTGTCCATTACATTTGATAGAATCAATAAAAGTGTTGTGTTTTGTTTGTATGTGATCTTTCTTTCTTTGTATATTTCTGGAATTAATTGATGTTAAAATTCTTAATTAAATGTGATTCCGTAGTATGATTAACAGCTATCTCTACCTGCAATGCATTGCAATGTGAAATAGCAATCTAAAAGGCACTAACAATAGTGCTAAATCATGAAAAAAGGGTATCGAATTCAGAACACAGTTATGGAATTTAATTAATGGGATTATTGGGGTGAAATATGGTTATCAAACTCTCGAGTTAACTTGTTAACTCGGACGAGTTTACGTTTCCAGACATGGCTTCCGAGTTAACATGGAAGTGAACTCGTTTTCTGCGTAAACTCGGTATGTGAAATCGGTAGAACCGTTAGAATCGCGAGTTTGGAACGATTCTGTGAGCTCGAAAGGGAAAAAAAATAAAAAACGATGTCGTTTGGGGTTTAGGGTTTCATGACCTAATTGTCACTATTTCTCGTGCCCCTTTGTCTCTCTCCATGGCCATCGCCATCTCCTCGCCTCCTTCATGTCGTCGTCGTCCCGTGCGCTTGATTACACTCTGTTCACACTTTATTTGCGCTCCATTCGTGGTTGTCGTCATGTCTGTTTCCCCCTCGCCGACGTGCCTACCATCACGCTCTTCGCCACGCCTACTGTCACGCTTGCTGGTGTGCATACTTGTCTCACCTCCTTCCCATTGCAATAAAACCTAAGTCGTCTGTCACTGCTACAGTTCTTTTTTTATTATATATTTAATGAAATACATTAAAATTAATGACAATAATTTAAGTATTTAAGTTTTACAATATTTGTTTTTATGAACAATATATCTATAAATTTTATATAATTTTGTAAATTTATTTGAATTAAGATATTATTTATAATTTTTTTTTCATTTGAAGTAAACTCTTCCGAGTTTATTCGACTCTCATAAATTTATGTATACTCTCAAGTTTGATAACCTTGGAGTGAAATGCTAACTATTTTTGTTATTTGATTGGATGAGAAATTATTTGAACCGATTTAGTTGTTATTATTTATATACTTCATAATTTCTAAATTATGACTAGTTAAATTCTTTTAATACTTAATCATTTAAGTCAATATTGGATTTATTACTATAATAACTGGGGAAATGATTGTACCCATTTAGATAAGATTATGAATATCAAATTTCGACGTACAATTATATTGTGTTGTTATAAAGTCTGAAAGCATCTAACTACAGTGAAAAGTCTAAGCTATTTAAGTATTCAATAACTTCAATAAATTTTTTTTCTCTAATGGCGTAACTCTTTAAAATAATTTCTATAATTTTCTCACATATTTTAAAGAATATTCAAGAATGATTTTTTTTTTTTGTAGAATTTGATTTTATATAAGGATTGATATATCATAATTAATCTTTAAATCATATTATAGAATGTTGTGGCTCCTCACTGCAAAGAAAACGTGGTTTATGTCTACCCGATAACAAAGCCTTTTGAGGCGAGGATTCCACAGACCCTTAACTAGAATGGACATAGTTTGGTGAAGCAATAATTACATTTTGGTTTTTAACTGCATTGTCACCCCTGCTGGAAGCATTCTGGGGACTTGCTTTATTTGTGAAAGATTTCTTAGCGACTTCGTACGACGTATTGATCCAAGAATGTTCTCACTCTTTTCGGAACAAATCAGTTCCTTTATTTCCACAACCTATAAATGGACAACAGAAAACCATATGCATATTGCTGGTTTAAGAAAGCACCAAAGAGATCAAACAGGTTATGATAAAATAGAATATCTTTTTTAATTCATTGATCTTCAGTTCCATCATTTGCAAATTGTAGTTAAAGAAACCGTTTAAAGACAAAAAACCGCCGAAAACCGTCAGAAAATTTTAAACGGTTAAAACCCCAAATTCATCATTTTGTTTTGATTTCATGATTTGTTTCTCTTTGGCTAGAATTGATGAAAGAGAACCAGAAATGGGCATAAAAGTGTACAATGCAACTCCACCAGCAGGGGAAGGATGAACAAACAAGAACAAGCGTCGTGCATTGATGGCAAAGGGTGTTCAGAAAACGCTATCCAAAACTTCTCTCCTCGGAAACTTCCTTCCCACGGGCACTCTCCTCACCTTCGAGATGGTGCTGCCTTCAATCTACAAGAACGGAGAGTGCAGCCACGTGCAGACCCTCATGATCAACTTCCTCCTCGCTGTCTGCGCCCTCTCATGCTTCTTCTTCCACTTCACCGACAGTTTCCACGGTCCTGACGGAACCCTCTACTATGGCTTCGTCACCACGCGCGGTCTCTCCGTCTTCAAGCCTTCTCTCCCCGCCGTGCCTGTGCCTCGCGACGACAAGTTCAAGGTGGGGTTCACCGACTTCGTCCACGCCGTCATGTCCGTGATGATCTTCGTGGCCATTTCCGTTTCCGATCACAGGGTCACCAACTGTCTGTTCCCTGGGCGCGAGAAGGATTTGGAGCAGGTTAGGGAGAGTTTTCCTCTCTTGGTCGGACTCCTCTGCAGTGGCCTGTTCCTCTTCTTTCCCACTTCCAGACATGGAATTGGTTGCATGTCTGCCTAGTTGCATGTCTGCCTAGTTCCTTCCGTTCCTTTCTTTAAGATATTGTCTTTTCTGTTTCATCAATAAATATTAGGGTTCTAATGTATATATCATGTATGATTCTCTTCATAATATATGATGTATGATTCTCTTCGTAACTGACATTCTCAACAGTGTGTGTTCTCTATTTTTTTCTGTACATTAACAAAACTGGGATGCTCACACAGCTCTCAAAGTTGGTGGAGTCTCGAGTTAGTACAGGGTCTGTGTTTCTTTGAGATTTCATGTGATAATTTTGAAGCCAAGTAGTTTTTGCACTAATCGCAGCAGTCATTGTCATATAATGGAGTGGAGTAGTCCATCCCGAAAATTCTACATCAAGATAGCATATAGCGGGATGATTACTTATTTGAATCCTAAACCCTACGCATAGATTTGTTCAAAACATGTGTATGCTGAAATAAAATAGAAAAACATTTGAATTTAAAGACATGCACAAATGAATGATCAAAATCTAGTGTTTGAGATGCCGATCGGCTGAGCACTATGTGAATCTGCTGGGTTTGTTGGGAATTTGCCAGGTTAAAACGGACTTTATTTCTGCTAATGTAATAGTAGCCAAAGTGGCACAAATGGCTGCGGTTAATATTGCTCTTGGTGTGACAGGAACTGTGAAATGATGAGCTTCTGTGGAGCAGCTGCTAGCTGTGTCATGAAGCTGTTACAGTGCCACTAAACACATGATTGAAAACTCTGGCTCTAATATAATTTGTTTTGCTGCTTATTCTTTTTGGTTCATGTCAGGATCCTTATTATTCTGCGGTTAGCATCTTGGATTATTGATTTTAGTTTGTTGATTTCACAGTATCGTTAAAGTAGGCCATTAGTGTACACCAATTTTATGTTGATTCTATTCACAAATGGTCGGAGTATTGAACTCAGAAAGAAACATTTTCCGAGGGTAGTTTCTTATGAGACAATTGTACAATAAATTTGCATTATGATAAGTTAATGAATGTGGATATCGCTGCAGATCCTCTTCCATTTGTCTTGTACTTTCTTTAATAGTTTCAATTTCATGTAGTGCATTTAAATGAAACACTTTGTAGTTTAATTAAGGAAAATTTTCCTTCTAGGAAACCATGAATGCTAAAGGGAAATTCCCTTCTCAATAATGAATGGAAATATGGTAATGAAAATATGTTAGTAATTAGCTTTTGCAGTTTTCATCTATGAAAAAATTATTAATTTGGGATCTTGTGTAAACAAACTGAGATTCTAAACGAGGAATCTGAGAAATCAAGCTAAAACCGTATCATAGAAAGTCAGATTTGCATACTATAATTAGTACATCTGAGCTTCTGAACACTTGCAATCTACAACATTAAAGTTACACAATCCTTATAGCGCCAAAATTTC